AGTGGCCTCCGCAAACCCCGAGCACACTCCTGAGACGCCTCAGACAGCCAACTCCCCCCTCACATGCGCCCAGCCCATCCCCCTCTCCCCTTTCATACTCTCCCTCCTCCCTATCATACTCTCCCCCCTCACTCACCTGTGCCCAGGCACACAGGCGGCTCAGTGGCCTCCTCAAAGCCCCAGCACACAGCTGAGTGAGACGCCTGAAAAATCGCTCTCCTCCTCACCTGCGCCCAGCCCAGCCCCCACTCCCCTATATCACACCCCCGTCACTCACCTGCGCCCAGGCACACGGGCGGCTCAGTGGCCTCCTCAAACCCCGAGCACACAGCTCTCAGCACGCCCATGGGATCCAGTTTGCCTGTTGGAGGAAGGGAGGAGGGGGGGACGGGGAGTGTGGGGGAGAGGGATGAGGAAAGGGACGGGGATGGGGAAGGAAGAGGGAGAGAGGGTGCACAAGCCATAGGCACACAGGCGGCTCAGTGGCCTCTCCAAACCCCGAGCACACAGCTCTCAGCACCCTCGTTGGGTCCAGCTTGCCTGTTGGGAGGTGGGGGGGAAGAGGTGTGGCGGAGGGGGGGAGGAATTGGACAAGTCTAGGGAAAAATGAGGATACGAGTCTATGAGATTATGAGGTTTGAGGTCCCTCTTTTGAGGTGCCTCTTTTGAGGCGCGCCTCAGGAATTGGACAAGGCTACAGAGATATGCAGATATAAGACTATGAGCTTATGAGTTTCTGAGACGCTCCTCGCACCATCTCACCTCCCCCTTTCCCGCCACCTCCCCCCCTCCCCCCCCCTGCCCCCCACCTCCCCCCTGCCTCCACATGCGCCCACCTCGGTACTGCTTGTTGTTGATCACCAGCGTCGGCTGGATGGTGACGTCACTGCGCCCATTCTTGCCCACCTGCGCATGATTGGGGGGAGGGATGGGGAGGTGGGGGGAGCGAAAGGGCAGGAAAAGGGGGGGTGAGGGCGGGAGAGAAGGGTATTATGGGAATGACAGTGTTCGGTGCAGAGATGAATTGAGCAGACGAATATCGTGACCCGACACGAGGAATGCGACGGCATGAAATGAGATGATGGCAAGACATGCATAGTAAGAAACGGGTTATGATATGACATGCCCTCTTCCCCCTTTCCCCCCTCTCTCCTTTTCCCTCCCCCTCCTCCCCCTTTCCCTTCCTCAACCCCCCACACACAAGGGCCCAGCCCAGCAAGCGCCACCCACCTGCGCGTCCTCCTGCTGCTGCAGCAGCGGGTTATCCACGTCCTGCGTGGTGAGCCCGACTCCCCCCACTCTACCATTCATTCACTACCCTCCCCGCACCCACACCCCCCCAATGCGTTTCCCCACCGCACCCCCAATGCGTTTCCCCACGGCCCCCCCAATGCGTTTCCCCACGGCCCCCCCAATGCGTTCCCCCACTGCCCCCCCAATGCGTTCCCCCACTGCCCCCCCAATGCGTTTCCCCAACGCCCCCCCAATGCGTTCCCCCACCGCCCCCCCAATGCGTTTCCCCACCGCCCCCCCAATGCGTTTCCCCACCGCCCCCCCAATGCGCCCACCTGCGCATCCTCCTGCTGCTGCAGCAGCGGGTTATCCACGTCCTGCGTGGGATCGCCAACACAGGTGCGCACGGTGCGCACGTCAATGCCTGGCGGGGAATGGGGGGATAGGAGAGGGGCGGGAGATGGGGAGGGGGGAGAGGGGAGGGTAGGTGGAGGGGGAGGGGAGTGAGACGAGGGGCAAGGGAAGGGAGCGGGGCGAAGGGCGGGTGTGAAGGGGTGGAGTGGGATGGAGATGGTGTTGCATCGCATCTCACAAGACAGGGTCAGCGTCCGTCCCACTCACCCAGCGAAGTGAGAACGGTCTCGGCGCACACCGCATTGAACATCTTATCCGCCATGCTGCACCGCTTCCTGAAGTCCGTGACATAGTCCCACCACACCCACGGCTTCCCCGTGTCATTCGCCCACTTCCACACGCACAGCTGCCGCAGATTCTCCACCAGCACATCCTTCCCATCATACCCCTCCTCGAAGTCACTCTCCGGGTCCGGAGCACAGTACCGCCCCTTGTGAATGCACTGGTTCTTGCAGGCTATCGAGTCCACCTCGTCTGGCGGGCAGTACCACGTGATGTAGTGCGGCGTAAAGAGCGTGTATCCCCCCTGCTCGAGGGTAATCGCCAGGCCCTTGAACTTATCCAGAAAGTTGGTCAGGTCGTTGCATTTCGGCCCGCAGATGTCGTTACTCGTGCCCCAGAGCTCGTACTCCACACGCTCGTCCGGGTGAGGCAGCGTCTCCCGCCAGTCCAGGTCCACCAGGACCATGTTCCCGGAGGAAAGAGCTGAGCGGATCTTGTCTCCGGTGGCTTTTTCGATGAGCGCGGAGGGGATGGTGATGTTGTTGACATAGCTGTCGGTGTCCTGGTCGTCCACAGGGGCCTCCATTGTGACCAGCGACTCTGTGTCTGTGTCTGCTACCAGGACGGCTGATGCCCCGCCCAGCTGCGCGTACCACACCTTCTGACTGAAGTAGCAGTCTGGAGAGGGGAAGGGGGAATGCGGGCAGGGGAGACGGGAGTAGAGGGGGAGACGGGAGTAGAGGGGGAGCAGAGCGTAGCGGTGGGTGTCCTGGTCGTCCACAGGGGCCTCCATGGTGACCAGGGATTCTGTATCCGTGGCCGCTACGAGCATTGCTGCCGCCCCGCCCAGCTGCGCGTAGCACACCTTCTGACTGAAGTAGCAGTCTGTGAGGGGGAGCGGGGGGAAAGGAAACGGGGGGAGCGGGAGTAGTAACGAAGGATTGAGAGGAAGGCGTCTCCACGTCCTCCGCCAAAGGAAGGGGTCCCGAGCGACTCCTTCCTCTGACGGAGAACGTGTCCTCCGAGAACGCGTTTTAAGGCGCGCTGTCGTTGCCCTCCGTCTCAAAAGGCGTCTCCATGGTAGTCCCGAGCAACTCCGTGTCCGCGTCTTCCGCCCGCGCGCCTGACGCACCCGCTTTTGAGGCGCCTCAAGAGCCACCCGCGATTTCGCGTAGCACAGCTGGAGAAAGATTGCCCGCATAGAAGCGAGTAAACACTATGAGGATTTTGAGTGAACTCGGAAACGAATCTCCTCAGGCATGATAAGTTCCTCAGGAACGAGCCTAACAACGTCTACCGGCGCACAGCAACGCGAGCAGTGACCGTTTCAGAGAGGCGAAACTACCAGTGGCATACGTACGTCGTGAGAGTGACATGTGAGTACCTGCTCGCTCCATACGATGGTCTTTAAAGGATTGTGAAGGACTGTAATTGAAAGTGAACTGCGTGATACGGGATTCTGTAAGAACCCCTAAGAGAACTAGAAGCTATGCGTGACCTACTAACCGAAAAAATAAATTTATTTATGAGTGCCCTACATTGTCAACCGACCATCGAAATCGTGGGTGAGTAGGAACGAATTTCGGCGGATAACAAAGTTGTATGTTTTGAATTAAGACCATGATAACTGGGGACACAAAGAGGGGCCCAAATCTTCGGTCAACCATAGGAGCAATGGGTTAAGAATCGGACGGCTACAACTTCACGCTTACGGTTTAACGACGTCTCTAAGCACGACGTAGGACGCGACCTACCTCCTCGGTCGACCATGAGAATGGTGGGTCGTTGACCCACGCCCTTCTTAAAGGCCTCCGACTTGGATAATTTCGTGCATCCCGCCTTGTTGTTCTGTAGGTATACAATCACGCCCGTTAGAGTGCCGCCGTATTGAGGCACTCCGAAGTTGGCGATTGCGCTGTCGTACGTCCCGCGAATGCTCTTTGGCTCCGTGATCTGAATGCTGTGCGTCTGCACGATGAACGACGCCCGTGCGACAGCGACCGACGAGCCGACGACAGCGAATACGAAGAGGAACGTCGCAAGTCGACGGAGAGATTCCATGGCTGCTGCGCTGTCAGAGGTAGCACGACACGAATCTAAGCACCCACGTTGCGCATTCGACGCCCTCAACGCGACACTCGAAAACGCCTAAACGGGAGCTACGTGTACGTAATCCTCGAACAGGCTGTAAATTCCCCGCACTGCACGCAAGCTGCCGTTGTATGGGAGGGATTGTGGAACCGCAGGATGGGGAGGTAAAACGATGATGGGATTCGAGGCAGGGTCATCTGCTGCTGCTGGGTCCGCTCTTCTCTCCACTCCATCCCTTCTGCCCATATTCTAAGTGCGGGCGGGCTTCCTAGAATCGAGGTATGTCGGTGGCCTACATCTCTGGGAGATTGACTAATTCTAGTTCGCACACTTAGCGGAAGGCTGGAGAGCACCCTGTGTGCTGTGCTGTCGTGTTGTGACTTGTGCTCCCCGGTACGACGGCCAGCCGTCTGGGCAGCTGTTCGCACCTACGATGGCAAGGCGAAACTTTCCCTCACTCCCCACACTCCATACCCGACTTTGCTCATTCGGGAGGTTCGATACAAGAACTGTCGTACAGATGCTTCCATACATGCTAACATTGCAAAACCTGAAACGCTGAGTGTACCAATCTATTATATTCGTTCTTATGAATAACGTGCTGTATTGGATGGAACTCGTGGTAACAATCGTGCCGCAATTGTGTGATGTGGATAGCGTCTCTGGAGAACTTGCGTGTGCCACGTCGAAAGGTCTGGGCTTGGGATCATCCACTTCCTTTGAAACGATGACGTGCCACAAGGGAAGACCTTTCATGGCTCCCCGCCACTCGCATCACGGAAACAGAACTCGTTGGGAACTGACATTGCGCGCACGGATTGGTTGGAGGCTGCTTATGTGGCGAAATGAGGAACTCAAGTCAAAGTCGAGGTGGTGTAACCCGTGTCGCTAAATGTCGCACTGAGCGCAAACATGAGCTATCGCATGGCAAATGAGTTGCGAAGCAAAAACTCTGCATTTGTTACAGTTTCGTAGACAGCACACCACATGATCCACTCCCTGAGCGACACCAAGGCAGGAAGGAACCGGGGCTCGAGGGGATGGATGAAATCCATGATCCGCAATCTGCATCTTCATTGGATGACTGCTGCCATTTCCGTGACATTGAGGCCCCCAGCCACTGGTTGGTGGGTGACCTCCCTGCTGCTCCCTCTGACTCTGTACTTGAGGTGAGGTCATTTGCTCTGTCACCATACAGCGAAACTGCTTGTCAGTTCAGGACCCTCGTTTGCAGGGAGGCCCTAAGATTTTCCGACCAGCACTTGGTCTAGAGTTTCACTTATCCCAGACCTCGTGTGCTCTAAAAGAAACTATGGCGCTCGCAAACAAGGCCGCGAACGCTGCGCTGACAGCAGGAGCTGATTCTCTTTCCTCTCTCTCGCAGCGCACGGCTGCGCCAGCGACAGCTCAGCAGCTCGCATTCGCGTCGTCCACCACATTCGGTGCCACGAAATCCACCCGCGCCAATGCCACGTCAGCAAACCGCGTGCAGCACCAGTCCAGGACGAACAAGCCTGGAAACATCCGGTGCAAGGACTACCCGAAGCCGGACTTCGATTCCGAGCCGCAGAGGGAGGCTCAGCAACTCTCAGCCTCGTTTAAGAACCTTCCGCGGCCCGAGAAGCCGTTGAAGGTCGCTATCATTGGCGCCGGATTGGCCGGGCTGAGCGCGGCGAAGTATCTGGTGGATGCGGGCCACATCCCCACTGTCTACGAGGCGCGCGACGTACTTGGCGGAAAGGTCGCCGCGTGGCAGGTGCGTTCAATTTGTGACTCGCTATCGTTCTTGTGATTTTTTTTCTTGATTATGAGTCCTCGTTTTGTCAATACGGTCGCCAATGCTGCTAATTTCATGCATTCAAGCCTCCGTTGTGGGTTGAGACGTTTCTAAATGCTGCTTTCAATATCTGACTCGGTTGGCAGGATGAGGAGGGCGACTGGTACGAGACTGGTCTCCACATTTTCTTCGGAGCCTACCCGAACATGATGGAGGTAAGCAAGGAGGCTGTGATGATTTGGTGATGGCTGTGATGGCTGAATCTGAACAATATCGTCTGTACAGGATGCTAAAGTTGAGTCTTTATTCAGGTGGAAGCCGGGGGAACAGAGTCCTTGAACAGCTAACACATTTACAAGAGTCAGATCTCCATTGGTCAACTAGAGAAGCAGAAAGTGCCACTGCGAAATTCGCTTTCCCCCACTCCTCCCTTCCTCTTCTGTAGCTATTCAAGGAGTTGGACATTGAAGATCGGCTGTAGCGGAAGGAGCACTCGATGATCTTCGCCATGCGATACGAGTTTTCGTCTCACTGTGCACAATTCGTCCCCCTCCCCTCCCCCCTCCTCCACCTCCTCCCCCACCTCTTCCTTCCCGTTACCGCAGCTGTTCAAGGAGTTGGACATTGAAGACCGGATGCAGTGGAAGAAGCACTCGATGATCTTCGCAATGCGATACGAGGTCGGGATTTTCAGGACTTACTGCGCACTCCGTCAAATTTGTCCCCACCCCCACCTCCCCAACCCGCGTCCCGTTATTCAGCTGTTCAAGGAGCTGGACATTGAGGACCGGCTGCAGTGGAAGGAGCACTCGATGATCTTCGCCATGCCCGACAAGCCCGGAGAGTTCTCCCGCTTCGACTTCCCCGACATCCCCGCGCCCGCCAACGGCGTCGTCGCCATCCTCCGCAACAACGATATGCTGACGTGGCCGGAGAAGATTCTGTTCGGGATCGGGCTTCTGCCCGCCATGATCCAGGTCAGCACAGCACTCCAAGAGCTGTCGGGAGCGTAACCGTCACGCTAAGGCCGTCCCGCTGCCAGTACCTAATGGTTCGCTCTAAGATTTGAGAGTAGAGAGCTGAGGGAGATGAGCGACGAACTCTGATCGATAAGAGCTAACGAGAGATAAGAGATCAGCGATGAGAGGTGAGAGACGAGGGTTGGGAGTTCTCTCGATGGCTTATAAGGTGTTCGCACGCACTCACACTTTTTCCATCCTTTCCGGTTACCGGGTTACAGGGGCAATCGTACGTGGAGAAGCAGGACGGGCTGTCGATCTCGGACTGGATGCGCAAGCAGGGCGTGCCGGAGCGCGTGAACGAGGAGGTGTTCATCGCCATGGCCAAGGCGCTCAACTTCATCGACCCCTGGGAAATCTCCTCCACCGTCATCCTCACCGCCATGAACCGCTTCCTGCAGGTGAATCATGAGTTCTATTGTATTTAGGGTGGTAACTATACATGGTTATAACTTATAGGGGCGGGGTCGCTGTCAGTGGGAAATCTCCTCCACCGTCAATCCTCCCCGCCATAAACCGCTTCCTACAGGTGAGTTTGCCGCTAATACGGTTATAATTGTAACATTCGGTACATGTAACATAAGTATTTAAGTTTCTTTCTCGCTTCGTTGGGTAAGCATAGAGACCTCATCACCAAAATCCTCGCCCTCGTCCCCCATCCCATCCCTCCCCTCCCATCCTGTTTCCTTCTTCCCCTACTCCAGGAAAGGCACGGGTCGAAGATGGCGTTCCTGGACGGCCCGCCCACCACGCGCCTGTGCGAGCCCATGGTGGAGCACATTACCAAGGGCGGCGGACAGGTGAGCGAGAGTGCTGAGCATGAGGGTTCAGGGGCTACTGTGGAGTGTTTCTGAGTGCTCTCACCCGCCTGTGCCAGCCACGGCATGGAGTGCCAACGACCAAGGGAGGGGATGCGAGATAAGAGGGGTGGGGTGTGGCGCAGCAGTTGATGCAGCAGAAAACGAAGGGACGGGTTGCGCGAGGGAGGGCGTGTTGACTGTGTGGTCGTCTAAAGTGCATAGATGGAAGGAAGGCACATTGACAATGCATGGCCGGAAAGGGAGGAGTTTGCTGGTGCAGTGGGCATGTGCAGAGGACAAATTAGAGGCACAGGCAGCATAGAAGATAGGGCAGAAGGGGGGTAGGACAGAAGCTGGGTTTGATTCTTAGAACCCAACCAAGACCGTTACAGTTGTCCGTAGTGTTTCAGGCGTTCGGTGTGTTATTGGTACTCTGGACAGCAACAGGTGTTACAGACACGTAGAGACAGTTGAGGGTGGTTCAGTATCGCATTGTCAAGGGCTTGGGGAAGCAGTTGAGGAAGGTTGTCATGGCTGCAGCAGAGGAGGGCGATAGGGTAGGTGGGTGAGTGGAAGTCAGTGAGAGGTAGGCGTGGAGGAAGTGACGGAAGAGGTAGGCTTTCATTCTGAATCCTTCCCTTTCGCCCCCTCCCTCCCCCCCTTTCCCAACCCACCCCTTCGCTGCACCCCCTCCCACTTTCCCTGCACCACCCCCCTTCTTATTCCAATGCCTTGCCACCCTGCTATCCCTCAAAATTCACCATGCCACTTCCCAATTCCCTGCTATCCCAGGTGCTGCTGGAGAAGCGGCTGCAGAGCATTGAGCTGAACGAGGACAATTCAGTCAAGTGCCTCAAGTTCCAGGGCGGGGAGACCGTCACCGCCGACCTCTACGTCTCCGCCATGCCCGTTGACCCGCTCAAGCTGCTCCTTCCGCCCGCCTGGAAAGCCGACCCGTTCTTCCAAAAGCTCGACGGGCTGGAGGGCGTGCCAGTCATCAACGTCCACCTCTGGTTCGACCGGAAGCTCACGACCGTCGATCACCTGCTCTTCTCGCGATCCAAGCTGCTGTCGGTCTACGCGGATATGTCGGTGACCTGCAAGGGGTATGCGGATGAGAACGCGAGCATGCTTGAGCTGGTGTTTGCGCCGGCGAAGGAGTGGATTGGGAGGAGTGATGAGGACATAGTGCAGGCGACGATGGTGGAGTTGGAGAGGCTGTTCCCCACGGAGATCCGTGCGGATGGGAGCAAGGCGAAGCTGAAGAAGAGCATTGTGGTGAAGACGCCCCGGTCGGTGTACAAGGCGGTTACTGGCCGCCAGGCGTACCGCCCCGGGCAGACCACTCCGATCTCGAACTTCTACCTCGCTGGCTGCTTCACCATGCAGGTGCGTGCTTGTGCCTGAGTGTGTGTGTATGAGTGTGTGTGTAAGCGTGGGTAAGGGTGTGGATGTGTGGGCGTGGAGCTGGGAGGTTGTTCCCCACAGAGGTTCGTGTGGATGGGAGCAAGGCGAAGCTGCGGAAGAGCATTGTGGTGAAGACAAGGCGGTTACCGGCCGCCAGGCTTACTCTGATCTCTAACTTCTACCTCGCTGGCTGCTTCACCATGCAGGTGCGTGGGCATGTGTGGGTGTGGGTGTGTGGGTGTGGGGAGGGAGGGGGTGGGTATTAGTGAATAGTGTTTAGGATTTTTCTTGAGGTCCCTCCCAACTACCCTGTTGGCTCCCTCACTCCCTTGTCCCACTCCCCTGCTCCCCTTCTTCCCTGTATCCCTCCAACAGAGGTACCTGGCATCAATGGAGGGGGCGGTGCTGTCGGGGAAGCAGTGTGCGGAGCAGATCGCCACGCGGGGGGCGGGGCGTAAGCCGGTTACAGGCATTTCGGTGCAGGACTTCCTGCAGAGGCAACCAGAGATGGCCACTGTGTCGCTTGCCGCTGCTCTTGGCGTTGCTGCCACTGCTGCTGCCCTGCTTGCTGCCTCAACAGCAGCCACTGCTTTGCCACTGTGAAACATGCTATATTAAGTTTTCCTGTGTTCTTAGAACATTTTTTTTTCTTATGAACCAAAGTACATTCATGAGTTGCATGGGGTTCTTCCTTTTGGTGGTTCTCCAGTTCACACATGTTCCCATGTGGGCATTGGTCAAAGAATGCAGAGGCCAATATATTCGTGGATCAGCTTTTTATTATGACAGAACGAACACTCCGACGCACTTTGACAATCGAAGGTGTTCAGCAGCGTGTACGCGAGCACAGAGCAGCAAGCCAGCCAGCCCTTGGGTTTGTCGCTCGCGAAACTTGGCATTGACACTGCGGGCTTGCACATTTGAACCATTTGATTTTTGTTGGTCTCAGAAGTGTCGGCAAAGCCGTCAAAAAAGCTGGTTTCCCTACTCAACCGTTCTATATGCTTAAAATACCGCTATAGAGCCGAAAGCACCTCACCGGAACGCAAATGATTTTTTGTCAGAGCTGCCTGAAGGTGGGATGTCAAGCTCCAACGGTCACAACTTTCCGTCAACTCCTAGAATCACGTCCTCACCTGCAATGGCGATACTAATCTCCAGTCAAATCTTCGTGCAAATCCAAGCGTTTCGAAACTGGGATGTGGATTAGCGTCGACTAGCACTGCGAAGGAACTTACGAGCGGCGTGCAGAACGAGCCAGCACAGTAATAAATGAAAATGAATTTATGGCTGCTTGTCTCGGAACCCTTGCCGCTTGTCACCTGTCCGCGTCGTCGAATTCAAGGAGACACGTTCGTCTCGAGCTCTCTCGCGCGAGATTGTTCGGCCCAGCTGCTTCAGCAATGTCGTTCACTCCAGAGTGTCGCTTCGCCGGTCTCAGAACCTTGTCCAGCACCGTTCAGCACCGTCCAGCATATCGCCGCGCCCTGTTAGCGTTGCTCCTACCACCTCCCTGCCTCAAACGATGCCTCTCGCGGCGTTTCCGCCTGCGACCGATCATCCCGCCGTCGGGCCGCGCTAGCAGCGGTGCTCGGAGGTGAATCTGTCGATGCACATGCAGCAGCCACGTTGGTCCAAGGACCAGGGCCACCGGATCGCGTCCAACGCTGCTCCATGGGGATCAGAGTACCGCCGGAGCCTTCACGGTAGTGCGTTCCGTTCAACGCCGCTCCATTGTGGTACCTAGTTCCCACCGTTGCTAGCGTAGTTTCCACGTCCTCCCTGCGCGATCCTGGGCCAGAAGCCCGTTGCTCGCCTTCCGTGTGTCTGCCTTGCTCAAGGCCCTAGTTTGCCTTAGGGGACACTGTCTCAGACGAGGGTAGTTGGTTTCACAAGCAGCTTTTGAGTGGGTGGAATGAGCGAGCTGCTCGGTCTCCAAGCTGCTGACTCTTGAACCCGCTTCAACCACTACTTGCAAGCGAGTCGTCAGCATCAGTGACACAAGCGTACGTGCTATCAACGCGGCCGCCAGATTTTGCTATCTGATTCACTGCCTGAACCAGCAAGTTCCCCAGCGCCCCAGCCAAAAAAGAACGCTGACCGAGCAGCATAGCAAGTTTCTCCTACCACGAGTGAGCTTAACTGGGGAAGGAAATGCGGTCCTTGAGTTTCAACAGGGAGAAGGAGCACCCGATTCGCGTGCTAGTAGCTTGAAGCAGATATGCTGCTGCTGGTAGGCTGCTGTTTGGCAGGCAGTGTTGGGAGACTGCTATTGAGCAACAAGCTAGTAGCTTGAGGCGTATATGCTGCTGTAGCTCAGCTCCTGCCTGCTGCTGCCTGCTGCTGCAGCTGCTGTTGCCTGATGGCTGGCTGCTACGCGGCTGCTATTAGGCAGGCTGCAGCCGTCACCCTTCAACTACACATGGCGTTTTCGTCGAGGGGTGTGGACAGGAACAGCGGTGGTGTGATGAGTGGTGCGATGCGGTTGAGAACTCACACTGTTTCCGGCTGTATCCTGTCTCTCTGGTCAGCGACAATGATGCTGCTGCTTCTGCTGCTTCTCCTGCTGCCTGCACGCTCACAAGGTATGGAAGGTCATGTGGCCGATTCGAGAGTGGGCTAATTCGATTGGATATGAGGGTGGAAAGATCTGATTTAACAGGATGGAGTAATCTGATTGGATCCGAAGGCGGATTGATTCGATTGATTCAGAGAATGAGTTGATTTTTATTTTTTTTTCATTCTCTTATTGTTTGGATTCGAGGGTTGATTGACGGGATCAAGTATTGGTTTCCTTCACATAACCGAATCGTCCTGTTTCTTCATGTGCCAATTTTCTTCGCTGTGTGCAGCTCAGCCATTTCCTTTCCCCTTCTTCTTTCCTTCCTCCTCTGGTGCCCCCAGTCTCTCGTCGACCCTTCCATCCAACCTCCCGAATCTAGCTCCCTCCACGTCATCATCAGCGCTTCCAGCCACGTCAGCAGCAGCACAGCCTTTACAAGGATCAGGAGGGGAGGCAGCAGGGGGGAGCGGATTTGCAGGAGCAGGAGGAGGGGGGAGTGGAGAGGTGACATCAGGGACAACAGCCACGACAGCTACACAGGCGTCTCTGTTCCCCCCTCCTGTGTCAACCACTCAACAACTTGCATCCTCTTCACCCTCATCATTCGCGCCTGTTACAGCAGCTGATCTCCCCGCATCTCAACTGCAGTCCAGTACTTTTCCCACTCTCCCCAGCGGCCCCATTCCCCTCCCTCCGGTCCCTGTGTCTCCCCCCTTCAGCTTCTCCCTACCCTTCCAGTTTTCCACCTCCTCTGAACCATCAGCCTCCTCCACGCCCTCCCCTCCCTTATCATCTCCCCCATCCCTCACTCCAACTCTCCCGTTTACCCCCTCTTCCTCCCCTTCTCCTCCCTCTCTGCCAAGCTCCTCCGCTCCCTTTCCGCCAAACTCCCCCTCTTCCCCCTCCCCTCCTTCTCCCCCACCCCTTTCACGCACTTCATCCCCAGCATCCTTAAACAATTCCTCGCCCTCTCCCCCTCCATTCCCTGCTTCTTCCTCTTCCTCCTCTCCTTCCTCCTCTCCCTCCTCCTCGCCCTCCTCCTCCTCCTCTCCCTCCTCTGCTTCCTCTCCCCCCTCCCAGCGCTGCTTATTCGCAGGCCAGCAGCAGCCGTGTGTGTGCCTCTCACAACCAAACCCACCCACTACAACACCACAGCGCAACCAATCCTCTACTGTTACCGCCGCTGCCACCGCTGCTACTCCTGCCACCGCTGCCGCTGCTCCTGCTGCGTCTGCTGCCACTGCCGCTGCCCCTTCTGCCCCTATTGCCGTTGCTGGACGTTCCTCTCCTGCTGTCGCTACACCCACCGCTGGTGCTTCTCCAGGAATCCCCTCCGCCACCATTAGACTCGTTGCTGCAAGTGAACCTGCCCCCTCGTTGCCTGCTCCGGTCGTTGCCATCCCAGGGTTGCAAGTGTGCCTTGTTACAGGCTCCTTCGGCCCCTGCACTTGCACTCCTGGTAGGTTGACTTCATTTCACTACCCCGCATTCTGTAAGATATCCTCTTGCCTTCTGTTTGTCCTGTTTCGTTCAATATGTTACGCAACAAAATTCGGCCCCAAAAATCATGAACTACAAACCAGGAATGCTCTGATTCGTTTATACTGTGCCCGTCCTCCCTCCCTTTCTTATTCCAAGCCGCCCGTTCTTGTGTGTCCCTCTCTTGTTCTCTTCTTCCCATCTTCGTGCCTGCTTTTCTGCCTGTCTGCCTGCCTGCATGGACCCCAATCCACATGCAATGCAGGTGATCCAAGCAGGCAGGCAGACCCAGATGCACCTGGGTCCCAGGTGGTCCCACCAACGCCACCACGTCCACCAGCCCAAAGCTCCAGCGTCTCTTCACCAGACCTGTTCCCTTCTGCCGCCACTGCTGCTGCTGCTGCCATTCGTGCACCAGGCGTCAGCCCCTCTCCCCATTCTCCCAACTCCTCTGCCACACCAATTCCCCCTGCCTCCCCTGCTTCTGCTTCAAGCCCATCGGACCAATCAGACGAGCTGGATGCCGCCCTGGTTGCTGGTAAGAACGAACTCAAGCTGGCTTTTCTGATTTCTTATAAGATCTAACCGTTGCCAACCAGAGTAACTTTTTGGAACAGGAACTTCCAGTTAACCTTTTGCCTTTCCTGTCTGAAGCTTTACTGCGCTGTCCCCTTCTCTCCGCCTCCCTGCCTTCTCCCCTGCTTACCTTGTCCCGTCCTCACCCTCCTCTCTCCTCATCTCCCCCTTGTCCCCTCGTCTCCCTCTTCTCCCTCTTCTCCCTCTTCTCCCCCTTCTCCCTCTTCTCCCTCTTCTCCCTCTTCTCCCTCTTCTCCCTCTTCTCCCTCTTCTCCCTCTTCTCCCTCTTCTCCCTCGTCTCCCTCTTCTCCCTCTTCTCCCTCTTCTCCCTCTTCTCCCTCTTCTCCCTCTTCTCCCTCGTCTCCCTCTTCTCCCTCTTCTCCCTCGTCTCCCTCTTCTCCCTCTTCTCCCTCGTCTCCCTCTTCTCCCCTCTCCTCCCCTTTCTCCAATCTCACATCCCAGCCTCATCTCCTCAGCCAATGAGCATGCAACAGCTGGCTATCAAGCGGTGGCAGTGGGGGGCGTGCTAGCAATAGGGCTCATACTGCTGCTGCTCTTCGCTGCCGTGGGGTGCTGCGGTGACGTGTGTGGGGGGCTGTGTGAGGTTCTCATACTGTCTCTCTCCCTTCTATACCCCCTCCACATTCCAGCCCCACCCCCACAGCCAATGAGCGGCCAACAGCTGGCCATCACAGGCGCGGCGGTGGGCGGCGTGCTAGCAATAGGGCTCATACTGCTGCTGCTCTTCGCTGCAGTGGGCTGCTGTGGAGACGTGTGGGGGGGCTTGTGTGGGGGGGTGTGTGGGGTGAGAAAGAGAGGGGACGAGGAGAGTGTGTGGGTGGGTGAGTGGGGAAAGGGAAGCAGCTATGAGAAAGTTGAGAGGCGCAATCTGGGGGGTAATGTTGGAGCGCGTGGGAAAGGGCAGCAGGACAGGGAGGCGAGGAGGAAGACGAGGCGGGGTGGGAGAGAGGGGCAGAGCAAAATGGAGAGGGAGAGGCAGGGCCCGGATAGGCCTTGGCACGTCAAGAAACAAGAGCAGCAAGAGCGTTCTGAAGAGAAGGTGCAGCAGCAGGCCGGAGGGAGGGCGCAGCAGCCTGAGGATAGGGCGCACTTGGGTACAAGTCGGCAACAGAGCATCCCGGCCCACGAGCAGATGCACCAGGAGCAGCAGCAGCACATGCCGTCCCTTCAGCAAAACCTGCCACCCCTTCAGCAGCCCATGTCAACCTTTCAGCAACAGCAACAGCTACAGCAACAGCAGCGCCATAACCAGAGCAGGGAGGAGATGAGGAGGCAGTTGGTGGCAGAGCAGCACAGAGCAGTGGAGGAGCAGCGTGAGGACGTTGTTGCTAGCAGCGTGGGCACAGTGATGCGCTCGGCTGAACAGATGAGCTCAGGTCTGGGCAGCGGCATGAGAATGAATGAGGGGAGGCAGTTGGTGGCAGAGCAGCACAGAGCAGTGGAGGAGCAGTGTGAGGAGGCGCTTGCAAGCAGCGTCGGCACAGGGATGGGCTCGGCTGAACTGATGAGTTCAGGCGTGGAAAGGGGAACGGGCATGGACATGGGCACGGGCAGGGGCATGCGCGAGAGTAGTGGCATGGGTAGAAGGGGGAGTGGTGCAGCGAGTGCGGTGCTTCCTTCTGTTGAGCAGCACATGGGATGGCTGGCAGCACAGGCTAGCTTGCAGGAGAAGGAGGAGCAGCGACAACTACAGCAGCAGCAGCAGCAGCACATGCCGCATCCACAGTCTCAGCAGCGTTTGTGGCAGGAGCAGCAGCAGCAGAGGTGCATCACACAGCAGCAAAGGCGAGGGAGAAACCACGTGCATCATTCAAACCAAGTGCCACAACACCCATCCTTGGCCCCTTTGCCTGCTGCTACTGAGTTACCTGCAGAAATCTTAAGTGGCCAGGTCAAGCCAAATGGTGCATTAGAGCTAAAAGGGTTGGCCGAGCCAAGGGGTACGGCCGAGCCAAGGGGTACGGCCGAGCCAAGGGGCCAGGACGGGTCATCACTTGCTGATACTGAGAAGATAAGGAAGAAGCAGCGAGGCATGCACTCTGAGGCGGTGGACGGGAGTGGGTTAGGTGCACAGTCAGCAGCAGTTGCAGCCACTGCCATCACTACTGCCGTGCTGCCATCGGGGGAGACTGTGGATGTGGAGCGAGTGGTGATCGGGCAGGTAAGCTGGGGATGGGAGGGACGGGGTGAGGGAAAGAGTCTGTTTGAGACAGAAAAAACTTACATGAGCATTAATGTAACAGGGTGAGCATGAATGTTACTTAAGCTATTGTCCGTCTTCACTCCGTCTCTTTCTCATGTGTACTCCCAACCCCCCTTTCGTTTCCCCCCTCTCCCTCTCCCCCCGCGTGCCCCTCCTCCTCCCGGCTTTCCCCCTGTCCCAGCTCTCCCCCTGTCCCAGCTCTCCCCCTGTCCCAGCTCTCCCCCTGTCCCAGCTCTCCCCCTGTCCCAGCTCTCCCCCTGTCCCAGCTCTCCCCCTGTCCCAGCTCTCCCCTGCCCTAATCCCACAGCACATGCGTCTGCCCTCCGACTCTTGCGACGTCTCAAAACTCTCCTTCCTCCTTTCCTCCCTCTCCATATTTCCCCCCTTTCCCAGCTCTCCCCTGCCCACATCTCACAGCACATGGGTCTGCTCTCCCACCTCTCCCACCCACACATCGTCGACACTCTTGGCTACAAGCTGCTGGCCGGCAACATCTGTCTGGTAGCCACAGCCCACATGTCGCAGGGGACTCTGCTCCAGTGGCTCAAAGGTTCGTCTGATGTGTTTCTTCAGCTGGACTTCAGGCGATTGTTTTGTGATCCTTCAGCCTTTCTTTCAAGTGTTCCTTCAGGTGTTTCTTCAGGTGTTTCACTTGTGTCAGCCAGGTTCGCCACATCGGCTGGCTGTCTCTCGTTTTTCCGCTTCCCTGCCTCCCTCCCACTTGGTTCGTTCTGTTTTTGCGAGCGCGCGAGTGCTACGAGTGCATCGAGCCAAACCATTAATCATCCCCGTTTCCCCCTTCCACCAATTCCCCCTTCCTCCCCCCCACTGCTCGACTGGCCTGAAACGGTGCACGTTGCATATCGAAAGCCTGACTTCTCGCATTCGCCCACTCGTGCGACTCCCCACTCCTAATCGTCTCAATGCTCCTTACTCCCTCTTCCTTGCAACCCTGCCCTGCACCCAGCCTCCTTCCCCCCTCTACTGGACTGGCCTGCAATGGTACAGGTGGCGCGGTCTGTAGCCCTAGCGCCCAGATTTGCCCAATCATGTAATCGCCTACGCCCTAATAACTCACGTGCAATTTGCCTTCCCCATTTTTCCTTTCTCCCTCTTTCCCCACCGCCCCCTCTTGTTCTCCAGCCTCCTCCCTTCCTCTGCTGGACTGGCCTGCAAGGGTACAGGTGGCACGGTTGGTAGCCCGAGCTCTCACATTCGCCCACTCGTGCGATCCCCCGCTGCCACATGGCGCGCTCTCCTCACGCCACGTGGCGTTTGGGGCGGACCTCAAGCCGCGTGTCGGGGGCTTTGCTGCTGCCAGGCTGAGAAGGCTGGGGCACCGCAGGTGAGAACTGGGGGAAGGAAAGTGAGAATCAGAGGAAGCTGCCAGGAAGCTGCACGTCGGTGGCTTCTGCTGCTGCCAGGCTGAGAAGGCTGGGGCACCGCAGGTGAGAACTGGGGGAAGGAAAGTGAGAATCGGAGGAAGCTGCCAGGAAGCTGCACGTCGGTGGCTTCTGCTGCTGCCAGGCTGAGAAGGCTGGGGCACCGCAGGTGAGAACTGGGGGAAGGAAAGTGAGAATCGGAGGAAGCTGCCAGGAAGCTGCACGTCGGTGGCTTCTGCTGCTGCCAGGCTGAGAAGGCTGGGGCACCGCAGGTGAGAACTGGGGGAAGGAAAGTGAGAATCGGAGGAAGCTGCCAGGAAGCTGCACGTCGGTGGCTTCTGCTGCTGCCAGGCTGAGAAGACTGCGGCACTGCAGGTGAGAACTGGAGGGAAGCTGCGAGGTTGGGTGCAGCATTTCAAATGTTGCTGGCAAGGATGAGAGGCATGTGGGTGGGGTACACAGAGAGGAAACAGAGGGGTTGACTGGTGGACGGCAGGGTTAGGTGCAGCAGCAGCAGTTGACGGAGAGGATGGGATAGCCTGGAGGGAGTGCCTTTTCATCCCTTTGTCTAAATTTTCCCTCTACATGCCCACAGGGCATTGCATGGAAATTCATCTGATGACATGGCAGCTGACGTGGCAGCTGACGTGGCGGAGCACATAGCATCGGACATCCACAGCTTTGGTCTCATTCTCCTTCATCTGCTCACTGGCCGCGACCCCTTCCTCTCATCACCATCATCATCACCACCTTCCGCCTCGTCCTCTTCCCCCACCTTCGCTGCCCTTTCGTCCGATGCACAGTGGCTGCTGGCTGAGGTGAGTAACGACAGCTGAGATCAGTCCCGTCTTCCAATTGATATCACATTTACCATGAACAGTGATTTTTTGCACATTTGTAGTTTTTCTGGCACATACATGCATTTGCATCAGCCCCGCATCAGTGTTTGCATGTATGTGCATGCCGTCTCATACGCACATGCATGCACTTGCATGCATCACACACATGCCCTGCTTGTGTAGCCCTCCAAGAGCATGGCGGCTTTGCCAGCAACTTGTGGATTTATCGCACTGGAAATACATGCGTGCTATTTGTATGCATGGTTTTGTTGTGCGCATGACCAACTATTGAATTTACGCATGCATGCCTGCAGGTCAAGTCTGCATGCGAGTGCATGGACCAAACGCGTTTGCTGAGTGTAGTTGATCCTTCCCTCGCAATCAAGCGTGCACCCTCCACCATGTTAAGGTATGGCCGGCTATGCGCGGTGAATTGTACTGTCATATACCTTCCCTTCCAATAGTTCTCCACTTATCAGTTTGCTTTATTTCTATACGGATTCAATTTCTTTCATTCTTGCGTGCAGCTTTGCAGAGCTAGCTGTCAGCTGTGCAGCTATACCTCCTGAAGTTTCTTCTATGGCGGAGGCTAGCCATCGACTCAATGTGCTTGGCATCATGTCCTTAGACTTTTGAAGCCTTGTTGAGGAAGTTGGGTGCCTCAAGACAGGTGAATGTGCTCAAACGTGATGCTAAAATATGTCGCAGCAATTCTCCCTGGATGGTGAAATTAAGGTCAGCTGGTTTCATATGCTATGTCTCATCATGAATGCGGAGAGGCATGTCTCTGCAAACAAGCAGCAGGGGGGTATTACGAGGGGGGGTATTATTTGCCCATTTTTTTATTATCTGATTGATCCATATCTCAGAACCAATCAAAAGTTGTTTAATCATTGCTTAATATATACGAGTAAGGTAAAGAATGCAGAAACCCTACCAGAGAAACCTTAGCACACGGAAATGTTCACAAGCGAGTTGTCTCGTAACGCAGCTAGGTCTTATGATGAATGTGGCGAAGCATGTCTCTGCAAACAAGCAGCAGCAGCCCTTTCCGTAGTCGTGACTAGTGCAGTTCATGTCAAAAGCCTTCCGCCAGGTCATAGGAGCTTCCGCGCTCCGCGGAACCGTTGAGCTAGCGGATCCGTCAGTGTGTTGCCTCGAAGAACCGCACGCTGAGGAGCGACCAGGGCTGCCAGCAATTTTTCCTTTTCGAGAATTCTCGAAACAATTTTGACCGATTCCTCAGGGCTCTTGCTCAAGGCATAAGATTGTCGGGAGGTCATGCATTAGTGTCTCCCGAAACAAGCCCCCCGTGATATTCAATCGACCTGCGTTTGCAGTATAGTTTGCAGCAAATCGAAGGAGTAAGTGATCCGATCGTATCGGATCTTTTGGGCGTTAGATCCGCTGCCCAACGCCCATTTAACGGTTCTAAGCTAGCTGTCGCGATACGGCTGCATTTATCATAGCCATCTAACCGGGTCGCGGAGTTATACTGCAGGGAAACTCTGACAGTGGAGCAGCGCGAGTCGGGAAGGGAGGAGACTTTTGAGTTGACTCAAAAGTCAACTCGGAGAGTCAGCAGGGTTGACCTGCAGGGAGACTCTGACAGTGGAGCAGCGCGAGTCGGGAAGGGAGGATGGCGCTAGAGAGCGATCGCAGCAACAAGCGACAGAGAGTCACCTCAGGCACGTTGTGCGACGGACCTGCTGTGCGACAGGCTGGGCGTGCGACTGTGTTGCTCTGCGACAGACATGTGCTCGTTCGTGTCGATATGATGTTTTGCTTTAGCATCACACAAATTACGTTCTACTGTACACACATGCGCTACAGGTGCCTAAACGTGCTGCAAAGCAAATTGTTTAAATCCCCCCTAGAGCACCTTGCTGTTTATCCTTACTCCCACCAGATTGCCATTCCTCTCCTCTCCCCCACTCCCCCCCCTCTCTCCAATCCTCTCCGCGTCTCTTGTCCCCGCTCCCCTCCTCTCCACTCCATCATCCTCATCATCCTCTTCCCTCCTCCCCTCGCCACCGTCCCCCCATCCCCCTTACCAGACAACCGCGGGCCCACAGTCCGCAAGGATGAAGCGGCATTTGAGGTTGGCTCCAGGTGAGTGTGTGTGTGAGCGAGGGTACGACTCTCGATGACTTGTGTCATCCTGAGCCTAGTGAAGTGATGAAGGGTTGCCTTTTGATTCGACTCTAAAGTCGTGCGTGTGTGAGTGAGAGTGAGGGTACGACTTTTGATGTCTTGTGTTGTCCGGAGCCCAGTGAAGTGATGACTGATGGGATGGCCACTGCTTAGAAGTTGGAGATCCCCACAAGTCGCAACCCAGGCTCCGGCTCTCTGTTCTATTATCGGGACTACTGCTGAACTCTTGATTCATGCCTGCGAGTGACCTCCATTCAATTCAACCCCATTCAACCCCATAGAACCCGCTGAATCCCATTAAACCCATGGAACTCCAAGGGCTCTGTCTGCAGCATGTCTGTTCTTATGCTTTCATTCGCATCTCCTCCCCCTCCCGCCTCTCTCTCTGCCTTTCTTTCGTCCTTCGCCCTTCGCTTCCCTCTGTCCCCCCTCAATCGCCTCCATTCCCCGTTATCCCCATTTCCCGTTTCGCGTGTCCCTGCTTACCGTGTGCCCAACATGTGTTGTCCCATGGCATGGCATGGCAACTGGCAGTTGGCGCGTGCTGGTGCTGCGGCTGGGCGAGCGATGCATGGAGTTTGATGGGCGCATGGACCCCATCGAACAGATGGTACGCGTGGGAAGGAAGAGAGCGGATGACGTGTGGTGTGGGTGGGGAGATGAAGGAGGGGGGTGGGGTTGAGGGATGTGTCATTTTTAAGACGTCTCAGAGGTGCATGGAGTTCGATGGGCGCATGGACCCATTTAACAGATGGTAGGGTTGGGGGGGATGGAAGAAGGGGTGGGAGGGGAGGGGATTTTGAGGCGGGGATTGGGAGGGAGAAGGGGTGGGGGAAGAATGGGGATTTGGGGGCGGGGATTAGGAGGGAGAAGGGGCGGGGAGGGCGTTTCAGGATAGTGAGAATAACATGCGGGTTAGTGAATTCGACAGCTGACGGGAAGGCTATAACGGGGCCCACTCCGCTCCCCCTTTCTCCCTTTCCTCCGTCCCGTCCCTCCCGTCCCTCCGATCCTTCTCCACCACACCACCAGGACCTGTGTCTGACGGTGGTCAGTCGCAACTTCGACGCCCTCAAATGCGAGCTGTCATGGCCACATGCTTACTTCCCTAACCTCCCCCCACTCCCCTTTCTTCCACTCCGTTCCCTCCCTCTCTGTGTCCTCTCCCATCCCTCCGCGTCACCCACCCACCACCAGGACCTGTGTCTGACGGTGGTGAGCCGCAACTTTGACGCCCTCAAGGGCGAGCTGCTGCCGGTGAGACATGCCGTGGTTGATGAGATGAGCAGTTTGATCTTATTCATCATTTGTACATGCCATGTCAAATGCTGTGCCATGCCATGCCATGTCATATCATATGCTGTGGCATGCCATGCCATGTCATGCCATGCCTCACCAGCATCTTCCATGCAACCAGAAGCGATTGCTGCTGGTTTTCATCCATCCCTTCCGTTTGGCCACCTGTTGTTCCCTTCCCACCCGAGATGACTTTGGAGTTGGCTCAAACTTGAACTCATCCCGTTCGTCCCATCCCAATCCCATTCCGTCCCCATGACCTGTTTTGTTTGCTCAACACTAATTCTCACCTCACCTCACCCCATGCTCCGCCCCGCCCCACCCACCCCACGCGCCTCCCACCCCAATGCAGCTCCTAATGCAGTGTGCAGAGGACCTTCCCCAAAAGGCACCGTTCTACACCACTCTGGTACCTCCTCTCCTCTTACCCTCCCCAAATTCTTTCCTCCCTCCTCCCCCTCCTCGAATCCTCCGCCCCTCACCCCCCCGCTGCTCGCCCTTCCATTCCACTTCAAATCCTTGCTCTCCTCGTCCTTCTCCTCCTCAGCTCTTCGCATAAGAGGACCATTCTGTCTCCCTTTATTTCAAAGGCCCACTAATGCCTGCGACTCCTCCTCACACATTGCTGATTGCAAAACCTTTCGTGCTCTTTCCCCTTCTACTTCCTCCATCCTTCCATTTCCCGCTCTCCCCTCTCCCTCCGTCCACTTTTCGTTCGGCCATCTTCCCTAAATGCAGCCCTCCCTTTTTCCTGGCTCATACATCCCCCTCTCCCCCCACTCAACCCCCCCACAGGTGTCGCTACTAAATGTGGACTATGAGGAGTTTGGGGCGTCTGTGGTGGAGCATGTGATGGCAGGCTTGCAGGTGGGTTGTGTGCAGTGCTTCTTGGTGCTGTGTGCTTCGTAATGTGCTGACTTTCGAGATCTAATGTGTAATACACGCTATGTGCAGCGTGCTGTGGGGTGCCTTGCGTGGGTGTATGCATTCTGCGCCCAAGCTGTCTTCCCTCTAACCGCGTGTGCCAAATGCTAAAACAGCACAGCAGATACATCGTGCAACCACACTGTCTATGTGTGTGTTGTACTTGCCACAATTTCTCTTGGCCTCGTGTCCCACACTCAGTCCCCGCCCATTTTTGAGTCGACGGACTCATCACGTGCGATTTCTCTTAGCCTCATGTTCCATGCCCAGTCCCCACCCCTCTCACCTTAATTGCAAGTGCACCTTCTTGACCCCGATCCCCCTCTCGCCTGTCTCTCCCTGGTGCTGTGTGCCTGCCATCATGCAGGCGGCCTTTGAAACTGGAGAGTGCAACAAGATGCGCATTCTTCTGCGCCTTCTCGCGCTGCTGGTATGCCCCCCCCAACCCCCCCACCTCCCCTCGCCGATGCTGCTGCACCTACGTGCTGCTGGTATTATTCCTCCGTTGCACTTCTCAAAAGCCGGAGAGTGCCACAAGATGCGCATTCTGCTGCGCCTTCTCGCGCTGCTGGTATGCCCCCCCAACCCCCCCACCTCCCCTCTCCGATGCTGCTGCACCTACGTGCTGCTGGTATTATTCCTCCGTTGCACTTCTCAAAAGCCGGAGAGTGCCACAAGATGCGCATTCTGCTGCGCCTTCTCGCGCTGCTGGTATGAACCCCCTCCCTTCACCCTTTTTTTTTTGTTGCACCTGCTTGCTTGCACCACTGGTAGCAGTTCGTGCTGCCTTGCTTGCACCACCGGTAGCAGTTCGTGCTGCCTTGCTTGCACCACTGGTAGCAGTTCGTGCTGCCTTGCTTGCACCACTGGTAGCAGTTCGTGCTGCCTTGCTTGCACCACCGGTAGCAGTTCGTGCTGCCTTGCTTGCACCACTGGTAGCAGTTCGTGCTGCCTTGCTTGCACCACTGGTAGCAGTTCGTGCTGCCTTGCTTGCACCACTGGTAGCAGTTCGTGCTGCCTTGCTTGCACCACTGGTAGCAGTTCGTGCTGCCTTGCTTGCACCACTGGTAGCAGTTCGTGCTGCCTTGCTTGCTACCAAAGGTAAGCATGCTGCTGCCAGCTCTGCTTCTCTCCACCTTTTCGAGTCGACTCACAAGTCTTTCGAGTCGACTCACAAGTCTTTCGAGTCGACTCACAAGTCTTTCGAGTCGACTCACAAGTCTTTCGAGTCGACTCAAAAGTCTTTCGAGTCGACTCAAAAGTCTTTCGAGTCGACTCAAAAGTCTTTCGAGTCGACTCACAAGTCACCTTGCTACCAAAGGTAAGCATGCTGCTGCCAGCTCTGCTTCTCTCCACCTTTTCGAGTCGACTCACAAGTCTTTCGAGTCGACTCACAAGTCTTTCGAGTCGACTCACAAGTCTTTCGAGTCGACTCAAAAGTCTTTCGAGTCGACTCAAAAGTCTTTCGAGTCGACTCACAAGTCACCTTGCTACCAAAGGTAAGCATGCTGCTGCCAGCTCTGCCTCTCTCCACCCTTTCTCGACCCTTTTCCATCTCTGCTTCCATCCCTTTTCACACACGCCTGCTCTGCTTCCATCCCTGTTTGTCGTATAACATATATTCCTTTTCCGTCTATCTCTCCTCTTCTTTATTCCTGTCCCCTCTTTCCCTCTCTCTCATTTCCCTCTCTCCCGTTTCCCTCAGTCTGTGGCAGCAGTAGTGCCAGAGTCTGAGGTGTTGCAAGTTTTGTCTCTTCTGGTCGACACCGCCACCTCGCACCTCGACCCGACAGCTGGCGGGAATCCCAACTGGCAGCCTCGGGCGGACTTCTTTGTCTTTTGTGTGCTTGCCTGCCTTCCCTTTGCCGCTCAAGACTGGCAGGAGGTGCGTGTATATGGTCTTTTGCCCATTGCCTCTTCCCTCTTGCCTCGTGTCCTCCCGTTTGTGTGATTGCCTGCCTTCCCTTTGCCTATTGCCTCTTTCCCTCCCCCCTCCACTATCACCGTGTATGGAATCTCTCAACCCTTCCCCCCCCCAGTCGCATCCGGACGAGCTAGCCAGTCTGCTGGCGGCAGTGCAGGGCTACATGGAAGCCCGCTCGCCGCTCGTCTTCCCCGCACTCGCGGTCTTCGAGCCTCAGCCCACCGACACCACACCGCCACAGGTGGGTTCTGTTGCTCAAGGAAAGTGCCAAGAAAGGGTGCTTAAATCAATCAACTTGAATGCCCGTCTCTCTCCCACCCCCACTCTGCCGGCCCCTGCAACCCATTCTTTGTCCTTGACTTTGCCTGTCTCTCCCCCTTTTCTTTCCGTCATTAGTGCGAAGTAACCATGTGCATGCTGCTCTCTGTGCCTTCACGCTCTTCTCTGCTCTGCGCTTGTCTGTGTCCCTCTGCTCTGCGCTTGCCTGTGCGCTTTTGCAGGACTATCTGGAGGAGCTGTGGGATCGCATCAAGGCATGCAAGGAAGATTCCTGGAAGGCGGAAAGTGGTACGCCAACTCAGAGCGCCCTTGTTTTCGCTAATGACCCCGTATGCCATGCCATGCCTGCTACGGAGTATCTGCATGCATGCACTTTTGAGGCGCCTCAAATGTCGTCTCTTGTTTGAGTGAGTAGCCCCAAATAGCTAATGATCCATTATGCCATGCCTGGTATGGAGTAGCTGCGCGCATGCACAAAAGCCAATCATCGTCTTGCCCCCCTCTCCTGAAAATTCTCATTAGTGATGTCAATGTGGCAGTCACGTGGTAAAAGTGTGCTTTTGAGACGTCTCAAGAACAGCGTGTTTTTTATAAAAACAACGTGGCAGCCATGGAAAGGCTCTCCTCTTCCATGCGCCATGCGCCACCCTCTCACTCTCTTCACTGCACCCTCCTTTCCCGTTTCCCCGGTCTTGACTCCTGTCTCTCCTTTTCCCGAACTCACAGTGCCTAGCCCCCCCACGTGGCAGTGAAGGATAGGCTCTCTTCATCCATACCTTGCGGCTACGCGACCCTCTCTGCACCCTCTGCACCCTCTGTTCCCATTTCCCCTTCCCCTTTCCCACTCCCCCCTGCCTTTTTCCCACGCTCACAGTACCTCTCGCCCCCACGTGGCAGTGAAGGATAGGCTCTTCTCTTCTATACCATACACCACCCTCTCACCCCCCTAGCACCCTCCTTTCTCCTCCCCTTAACTCTTCCTCCGTACCCCTTCCCGCTTCCCCTTCTCCTCTCACAGTGCCCCACCCGCACTTGGCAGTGAAGGAAAGGCTCTCATCCATGCGCCACCCCCTCACCCACTGCACTGCACCCCTCCTCCATTTTCCCCTACCCCTTTTCCCAACCCCCTCCTCTCCTTTTCCCGCTCTTCCAGTCTCTCGCCCCCACGTGGCAGTGAAGGAAAGGCTCTCCTCCTCCATGCGCCACCCCCGCACCCTCTGCACCATCTGCACCCTCCTTTCCCCCTTCCCCCTTCCTGACTTCCCATCCCCACTTCTCCTTTTGCAGTGCCTCGCCCCCACGTGGCAGTGAAGGAAAGGCTCTCCTCTTCCATGCGCCACCCCATCGGCCTCTTCACTCCGCCGCTTGCCCCCCCTGCTGCCGCCCAACTCGACACTGATGCTGACATGGACGAGGGCGACGACGAGCACAAGCAGACAAGAGCCGCCGCCCGGCAGCGGTTTGAGGCGCTGCAACAGTTTCCGCCCCGGATTGGGCGTCTGAAGCTGTTTCCGCCAGCCAAGACCGACGCTGTGAGCACTCTTCCTCGCCTTTCCTCTCTCTTCCTCGCCTTTCCTCTCTCTTATACCCTGCGGTAATGTAGCATCACACATTTTGAGCATCCCACATTGACTGGTGAAATTGTGTGAAGGCGGGGTAAGAGGCTGAGACAAACTTGACTCGTTTGACCGTGTCAGTAACATTTCCTTGTAACGTGCCCCTCTCTCCCTCCTCCCCCCCCACCAGACCATGTCACCCATCGACCGCTTTGTGGTGCAGGAGTATCTGCTGGACGTGCTCTTCTACATGAACGGCAGGTGGGTGTGAGGCACATGCTCATGCACTGAATGGCGGGGTTGTGTGCCTAGCGATCGACCACTAGGTTCCATTGTGGTGCAGGAGTGTATCTGCTGGACGTGCTCTTCTACATGAAGGGCAGGTGGGTGCGGCGCATGCTCACTCACGCAATGAAAGCGCAGGGTTGGGTTGGGTTGGGTTGGGTTGGGTTGGGTTGTGTGCCACAGCAGTTGAATGCATTGTGGTGCAGGAGTATCTGCTTGGCGTGCTCTTCTACATGAACGGCAGGTGGGTGCGTGTGGGTGAGTGGTAGGTGGCATGCTCGTGCAATGAAGAGTGGGTTGTGCTCCTAGTGCGAGCAGCTGTAGAAAAGACTGCATTGTGGTACAGGAGTATCTCCTGGACGTGCTCTTTTAGTGAGAGGTACGAGTGTGCGAGGTACCTGGTGGGCCTGCTGTAAGATGCCTTGGTGGCCTACTTGGCTGCTACCTCATCTCATCTCGTCTAGTTGCTTTGCTGCTCCCACCACCACCACTACCCCCACCATCCACACAAGTCGCAAGAAATGTGCGAACTATCTAACGGTCTTGCTACCTTCCTACCTTACATAGTTTTGTTCTCATCTTATTGCTTTGCCCTTCTACCCTTACCATCCCCACCCACCAACCTCTCCCCACCAGTCGCAAGGAGTGTGCGAGCTACCTGGTGGGCCTGCTATGAGATGCTCCTGTTCATTGTTGTGCTCATCTCATCATTGTGCTCCTGTTCCCACCACCTTCTTTACCCTCACCATCCCCCACCACCTCCCCTCACACCAGTCGCAAGGAGTGTGGGAGCTACCTGGTGGGCCTGCTATGAGATGCTCCTGTTCATTGTTGTGCTCATCTCATCATTGTGCTCCTGTTCCCACCACCTTCTTTATCCTCACCATCCCCCACCACCTCCCCTCACACCAGTCGCAAGGAGTGTGCGAGCTACCTGGTGGGCCTGCTATGAGATGCTCCTGTTCATTGTTGTGCTCATCTCATCATTGTGCTCCTGTTCCCACCACCTTCTTTACCCTCACCATCCCCCACCACCTCCCCTCACACCAGTCGCAAGGAGTGTGCGAGCTACCTGGTGGGCCTGCCTGTGCCGTTCCGCTATGAATACGTCATGGCGGAAACCGTCTTCTCCCAGGTGAAAACCACAGAGACATGTTGTCATCCAGCTGCAAAAAACAGAGACATGTCTCCATCCAGGTGGAAAACACTGAGAGTCTTTCAGGTAGAAAAAGAGTTATCTCTCCACCCAGGCGCTGGACACGCAGACTGCCATGCAGCACCTCTCCTCCACATCCTTTGCCATCACACCTGCAACATCTCTCCACCACTCCTCTTCCTATTCCACACACTCAAACCCTCCAGCTCGCTGTCTCTCCACCTATTGCCACCTCTTTTCACCTCTCTCTACCGATCTCCTCCTACTTTTCTTTCCCTTCTTCCCTTGTTCAGTTGCTGCTGCTTCCCCGGTCGCCCTTCCGCCCCATTTACTACACAATCGTCCTCGTTGATCTCTGCAAGGTGCGTTGACCTCTGCATGGTGCGTTGACCTCTGCAAGGTGGGTTGACTTGGTTGACCTCTGCAAGGTGGGTTGACTCGGTTGACTTCTGCAAGGTGCGTTGACTCGGTTGAATTCTGCAAGGTGCGTTGACTCGGTTGACTTCTGCAAGGTGCGTTGACTCGGTTGACCTCTCTCTGCAAGGTGCGTTGACTCGGTTGACCTCTGCAAGGCGCGTTGACTCGGTTGACCTCTGCAAGGTGCGTTGACTCGGTTGACCTCTGCAAGACAGCTGGCATGCTGATCGTGTTGTGTGTCTTCAAGGCTCAACCTTCTCAGACTCTCCCCGGCACCTTCCCAGCAGTTCGGGCGGGGGCGCTGCTTGTTCCTTTTCCGCAGCTGAACTGTCCTCCCTCCATTGCAACCCTTGACTCTCTCATTCCGTCCCCACTCCCCCACTCCCCAACCCATTCCTCCTCCCATGCCCCTATCTTTGTTCCCTCTCTCAGGCCCTCCCCGGCGCCTTCCCAGCAGTGCTGGCAGGGGCAGTGAGGGCGTTGTTCTCCCGGGCGGCAATCATGGACGTGGAGTGCAGGACACGTGTCATCCAGTGGTTGGCCCACCACCTGTGAGTCCTTCTCCACGTTTCTATCCCCCACTGGCGCCCCAAGGTGACCTAAAGGTTCTGTCCATCATGCTGTTACGGCTCCTCGTAACTGGTAACTTTGATAGTAAAGTCAAGTCAACCTGACATGAAGCACCCACCCACCTCTGCATGGTTCTTTTTGCACACTGTTTACCTTGTCCTGTATGCCGCCCTGCGCACTCCCAGGCCTAATTTTCCTTGAGCCGCCTCAGAAATGGTTCTTATCGTGTGTGAAATCCGCCAATGTCCAACTTCTTTTGAGTGATGCCGCCGCACAATCGTTGTTGTTTCTTGTCCTGTGTGCCGCCCGCCCGCCCAGGTCCAACTTTGCGTTTGTGTGGCCGTGGGCGGCGTGGGCAGCAGTGGCACGGCAGCCGGAGTGGGCCCCACAGAGAGTGTTTGTATCAGAGGTGCTGGAGAGGGAGATCCGCCTCTCCTACTATGACAAGATCAGAGAGGTGGGTGCCTAGTCTATACAGACTGAGTGTTGAACGCAGTGAGTCGCCTGAGCACTCTCTCTCTCGCATGGGCCCCACAGAGGGTGTTTGTGTCGGAGGTGCTGGAGAGGGGGAGATCCGCATCCCCTACTATGACAAGATCAGAGAGGTACCAACGTCCGTCCGAGTGATGACGGTGTAGAAAGAGGTATCACGGGGTGCGTCGCGTCGTCTGTGCACTGTCTCACGCACGTCAGCCGGAGTGGTCGCCTCCTCTCCACAGAGGGTGTTTGTGTCGGAGGTGCTGGAGAGGGGGAGATCCGCATCCCCTACTATGACAAGATCAGAGAGGTACCAACGTCCGTCCAAGTGATGACGGTGTAGAAAGAGGTATCACGGGGTGCGTCGCGTCGTCTGTGCACTGTCTCACGCACGTCAGCCGGAGTGGTCGCCTCCTCTCCACAGAGGGTGTTTGTGTCGGAGGTGCTGGAGAGGGGGAGATCCGCATCCCCTACTATGACAAGATCAGAGAGGTACCAACGTCCGTCCAAGTGATGACGGTGTAGAAAGAGGTATCACGGGGTGCGTCGCGTCGTCTGTGCACTGTCTCACGCACGTCAGCCGGAGTGGTCGCCTCCTCTCCACAGAGGGTGTTTGTGTCGGAGGTGCTGGAGAGGGGGAGATCCGCATCCCCTACTATGACAAGATCAGAGAGGTACCAACGTCCGTCCAAGTGATGACGGTGTAGAAAGAGGTATCACGGGGTGCGTCGCGTCGTCTGTGCACTGTCTCACGCACGTCAGCCGGAGTGGTCGCCTCCTCTCCACAGAGGGTGTTTGTGTCGGAGGTGCTGGAGAGGGAGATTCCCCTGTCCTACTATGACAAGATCAGAGAGGTGCGTGTGCAGTGTAATCTGTGTTGTGCACGGTGCACTCTCTGTCTCTCTCTTACTTCCTCTGCATGGGCCCACATGGAGTGGGCGCCAAGAGGGTGTTTGTGTCGGAGGCGCCTCAAAAGCACGGCAGCCGGAGTGGTCGCCTCCTCTCCACTGAGAGGGTGTTTGTGTCGGAGGTGCTGGACTGGAGAGGGCTTTTGAGTCGACTCGAGCGCAACCCGACAACCGCTCTCGCCCCTTCCCTCCCTCCTCGTCCCTCGTTCCCTCCCTCCTGTCCTGCCATGCCTCTCTTTTCCACAGTCCCTCGGAAGCACCGAGTGGAGCAGCTGCTGCCCCCCAAGCCGGAGCCAGTCTTCAAGTTCAAGCGCAACCGAGCAACAACTACTGTCTTTTCCCTCTTGCCGCCGCCTCCTTCTCCCCTCGTGATAGTCCCTGGGCAGCCCAGAGATGGAGCAGCTGCTGCCGCCCAAGCCATTTTGTTTGAGATTAGTTTTGAGAATTCTCAAAACTAACCTGGGCAGCACAGAGATGGAGCAGCTGCTGCCCCCCAAGCCATTTTGTTTGAGATTAGTTTTGAGAATTCTCAAAACTAACCTGGGCAGCACAGAGATGGAGCAGCTGCTGCCGCCCAAGCCATTTTGTTTGAGATTAGTTTTGAGAATTCTCAAAACTAACCTGGGCAGCACAGAGATGGAGCAGCTGCTGCCCCCCAAGCCATTTTGTTTGAGATTAGTTTTGAGAATTCTCAAAACTAACCTGGGCAGCACAGAGATGGAGCAGCTGCTGCCGCCCAAGCCATTTTGTTTGAGATTAGTTTTGAGAATTCTCAAAACTAACCTGGGCAGCACAGAGATGGAGCAGCTGCTGCCCCCCAAGCCATTTTGTTTGAGATTAGTTTTGAGAATTCTCAAAACTAACCTGGGCAGCACAGAGATGGAGCAGCTGCTGCCCCCCAAGCCCGAGCCCGTCTTCAGGTTCAAGCGCAACCGAGCCGCGGGGCCGGGGAGACGGCTGGCGCCTGCAGAGCATTGGTGCTTGCTCTTGATCCTTGGTTGTGCTGTCCACCCATCTGCTCTCTGCCTCTCTGCCCCTCCTGCTCCCCTTGTCACAGTCCCTTGGTTCCGCGGAGATGGAGCAGCTTCTCCCTCCCAAGCCCGAGCCCGTGTTCAAGTTCAAGCGCAACCGCGCCGCGGGGCCGGGGAGACTGCTGGCGCCTGCAGAGGGGGAGGGGGAAGGGGAGGGAGAGGGGGAGGGGCGCGGGAGGAAGGAAGGCGGGGGGGAAGGGGAGAAGAAAGAGGGGGAGAAGTCGGGAGAGGGAGAGGGGGACCGCGACATGAAGGAGGGGGGCGAGGGGGAGGGCGGGGAAGGGGGGAAAGACGGGGGGAAAGACGGCGGAAAAGGCGCAGTGCAGCAGTATGGGGAGGGGGTGGATGCAGCAGCGGTGGAGGTAGCTGAGGAGCTGATAGTGATGGTGCGGACGAAGCGGGCAGGCAGGGAGGTGGCGGCGTGGGTGGAGGAGCAGGCGGTGGGCAAGGTGGGCGGGGACAAGGGCCGCGCGCTGGATGTGGTGGCCCAGACGCTGCTGGTGCTGGGCTCCAAGAGTATTACCCATGCGGTTACCGTGCTGGAGAGATACGGGCTGGCGCTGCAGCTGCTGGCGCCTGATCAGGTGGGTTTGGTTTGGGGTGGGATGGGGCTGTGTGCGCTGATTTAGGGGCTCTTCTGCTGCTGCTGCTGGTGCTGGTGCTGGTGCTGGTGCTGGGCTCCAAGAGCATCACTCATGCGGTTACCGCGCAGGAGAGACATGGGCTGCCGATGCAGCTGCTGGCGCCTGATCAGGTCAGTTTGCAAGAGTGACTGCCTCCCTCCACTCTCCCCCCCCCCACACTGCAGCCCTCCCAGGTGCAGCTGCTGCACAGCATATGGACGGTGTGGGCCAACGCCTCTCAGATGGCGTCATTGGTCACCTAGTCAAATGCGGACAGCACACTCCTTTCCCGTACTCCCCCCCGCCCCCCCTTATCGCTCACCCTCCCCGCCCCACCACAGCCCTCCCAGGTGCAGCTGCTGCACAGCATATGGGCCGTGTGGGCCAACGCCCCTCAGATGGCGGCGGTGGTGGTTGATCGCTGCCTCGGCTTCCGCCTCGTCTCGCCTCTCGCTCTCCTCGACTGGTGCTTCGTGCCCGCTCATTACGAGCTCTACCACACCTCCGAACGCATCTGGGAGGTGAGGTTGGTCCCTGTTGAGTCGACTGAGAAGTCGCTTCCGTCTCCTCCTCTCCCCACTCGCTCTGCTCGACTGGTGCTTCGTGCCCGCTCATTACGAGCTCTACCACACGTCCGAGCACATCTGGGAGGTGAGGTTGGTCCCTGTTGAGTCGACTCAAAAGTCGCCTCCGCCTCATCTCCCCGCTCGCTCTGCTCGACTGGTGCTTCGTGCCCGCTCATTACGAGCTCTACCACACGTCCGAGCGCATCTGGGAGGTGTGTGCTTGAGAGTGGGTGATGTGGGCTTGGGGGAGGGAAGTGAAGTGAATCCTAAACCCCCAACCCACCTTGGAGTTGAGTGGAGTGGAGTGGAGTGGACTACTTGTGCTGCTGCACGGATTTTGCTTCCTCGACCTGCACTCCTGAACCTGGACGCATGCACACACTTGCTGCCCCTTCTTTTATCCCTCCCCCTTCTTACCCATGTCCCGTGCCGTCCTCCCCTTTCCCCCTTCCCCCTTGCCTCCTCCCCGCCCTCCTTCAACACACCCCTTCCCTTCTCCCCTCACCGAAATCAGATTCTCCGCACCGCCCTCTCAAAGGCCACCAACTGTCAGTCAAAACTTCCACGCATTCTCTCCTCCCCCACTCGTATCCCCCTCCTCCTTTCCCCTCCCCCTTCTTCCTCCTCCTTTCCCCTCCCCCTTCTTCAACCAAATCAGATTCTCCACACCGCCATGTCAAAGGCCGCCAACCGCCTGCGCCACGTCAGCGCTGAGGTGGCGGTTCTCGAGAGGGCGTCGGCTGTGGCAGCAGCGGCTGCCAGCAAGGCGCGCAGCGAATGGGAGGCTTCCACGTTGGCAGAGGAGGAGGCGGAGGGAGAGAAGGCGAAAACACAGGCTGCAGCCAAAGCTGAATGGGCCAAGGTGGGGGGTGTGTGGGGTGCGGTGAGGATAGGTGGGGATAGGTGCAGTGTAGTGTGGGGACCAGGCAAAGTCGGCAATTGCACCTCTTGTTCTGCCGTTCCCACGCTCGATGTCTCTCCCCTCTTTACCCCTCTCTGCCCCTTTTTACCCCTCTGCCCTTTTTTCCCTTCTCTCCCCTTTTTTCCCCGCTCTGCCGTTCTTACCCCTCTCTCCCCTTTTCACCCCTCTCTGCCCTTTTCACCCCCCTCTCCCCTTTTCACCCCTCTCTGCCCGTTTCACCCCTCTCTCCCCTTTTTACCCCTCTATGCCCTTCAGCATCGGAGCAGCAAGGCACAGGAGGAGGCGGAGGCAGCAGCAGCAGCGGTGGAGGGCAAAGAGAGGATGAGGCGAGAGGCCGAGGAGGAGGAGCAGGTGAGAGGAGAGCGGTCCAGATGGGTTGGGTTCGGTGAGTTGGGTTGGGCATCAACAGCACTAGCAGCTGAGCAGCAAGAGGAGAAAGAGAAGAGGGTTGAATGAGAGCGGTGGAGGAGGTGGAGGAGGAGGAGGAGGTGGAGGAGAAGCAGGCGTTGTTAGTTGGAAAGTGCATGAGATGGGAAACGGGTGGGAGGGGAAGCAATGAGTTAGTGCTTGGAGAACTCATTGCTCCCCCCTCTTCCCACTTCCATCTCTATCAACCCTTTTGGTTTACGGCACTAAGAAAGTGTGGCGGAAGGAAACATGAGGTTGGGTTATATTTCCTTCCTTCTCCGTCCCCACTCGATCTCCTCCCTGCCGCTCATTCCCCTGCTGTGCTTCGCTCCCCGTTTTTCCTCTTCCCCCAAGGCCTTGTTCATTGCTCTGCTGCTTCACTGTGCTACGGCTGTCAGCAACAGGCGGGCTGCTGTGGCAGAGGCAGCACCTTGACTCAGGCGTTGCTTCCCCCTCCCTTGTCCCGTGCTCCCATCCCTCCTCCCCCTCCTTTTCTCCAGGCCCTGTTCATTGCGCCGCTGCTTCATGAAAGAAGTAGTGTTTTGAGACGTCTCAAGACATTGCGCTGCTGCTCCGCTTTGCTACAGCTGTCAGCAAATGGCGGGCTGCTGCTGTGGCCGACGTAGCACCTTGACACATGCTACGACTTTTGAGGCGCCTCAAAAGCCGACGTAGCACCTTGACACATGCTTCCTCCTCGTTCTTCTCTCCTCTTCCTTTACTCCCATCCCTGCTCCCCTCCTCCCCCCAGGCCCTGTTCATTGCTCTTTTGCTTCACTTCGCTACGGCCGTCAACAATCGGCGGGCTGCTGTGGCTGAGGCAGCAGCGCGGGAGGAAGAGGAAGAGGAGGCGAGGAGGGTGGAGGAGGAGAGGATGGAGGAGGATGAGGGGGACGACACGGGAATGGATGGAGAGGAGGGCGGGGATGGTGGCAGTGACAGGTGAGGGCACATAAGAGGGGGGGATGACAGGGGGTGGAGGAATATAAAAGTTGGGGGGGGAGGGGAGGGGGGAAGAGAGGACAAGGGGGGTGCGGATGAGGTGGTGGAAACGGGATGATGCTGTTAGAATGGTGCTGAGTATGGGAAGTCACAAGCTCTAGCGATGTTGCAAGCTGTAGAGGGGTCACAAGCTGTAGAGGGGTCACAAGCTGTAGAGGGGTCACAAGTTGTAGAGGGGTCACAAGCTGTAGAGGGGTCACAAGCTGTAGAGGGGTCACAAGCTGTAGAGGGGTCACAAGCTGTAGAGGGGTCACAAGCTGTAGAGGGGTCACAAGCTGTAGAGGGGTCACAAGCTGTAGAGGGGTCACAAGCTGTAGAGGGGTCACAAGCTGTAGAGGGGTCACAAGCTGTAGAGGGGTCACAAGCTGTAGAGGCTGTGGGAGGACAGAAACTCCCACAGCCGCTAGAGCCTGGAGTACACAGGGGATTCGGGAGGACACAGGCTCTGAAAGGCACTCCAGTGTTTCCCTTTCCCT